GGCATTTAATTTCTATAAAATCAATACAAAAACTATTTTATCACTAATAGGTCTAACGTTAAGCTATTCAATAATACTCATACAAACATCATAAATGTTTTTTAAAAAATAATTTTGTTGAAATTCATAAATTCATAATCTGATGGATTTATTCTGTATACTATAATATAAATAACCAATTTAATTTTTTTTCTTATTAATAGTTTATTATAATATTTGTTATTTATTGTATTAATATTTATGTAATTTACAAATCTTAAATAAAAAAAATTATAAAAATGTATTCACTAATATATGTCAAATATTTATAGATTATTTTTTTTAAATAATTAAATTAAAATAAAAGTTTTATAAATAATTTATACATAATTTTATTTGTAGTTCATAAAAAATTTATATTACTAAACTATTTTAGCAACTTTTATTTATTTATTTATAAATAATTAGTTTCAAGTTTAATACAGTAATTTAACTCCAAAATATTTTAACAGTTTTGAACGACAGTCAAATTTTTGTTAACAGTTATTATTATTTGTATTGAAAAAATAGTTTTTAGTAACATTTTTTCTAAACTATAATAAAACTGTTAATATTAATTTATTAGTTTAATTTTTACAATCAATAATTTATTATATGCTAATACTTGTTAGTTTCTGTACATACATTAATAAAAAATTATTGTATACTTAATAAATAATAATAAAAATGTAAAATTATTATTTACTTTTTTTGTGATACAATACTTTTTTGTTATTATAAATTTGTTGTTAGCAACGATATAAAATTAATATTTTATTTACATAATCTATTATTTATATAAATATATATCTTATATAACATAATTACAAATAGTACAATATATCAAATATATAAATTTATTTTTGTATTTAATAAATAATAACAAGTAAATTATTAACATAAATAATGCTAAACAAATTATAATTTTTAAAAAAAAAAATGTTTTACATTCAACGTGAAAAATCTGGATTAGATTTGATAATTCAATTTCATAGATTAACCGGGATCACATATTTTAACTATAAATGTAATCAAAATTCAAATTTTTGTATATTTAAAAAACTTTTGCTATTAATTATTACAATAGTGTTTATAATATCTGTAGTATTTTTATTTCAATATTTAGCTAGTTTTTTATTAGACATTAATAAAACAAAACAATTTTATTTTAATAACTCAAAAAAATCAACATTATTAGCCATACTATTGATTATCAGTGAAATTGGTTACACTATTAATGTTATAATTATATGGTTAACATTGTTGATTAATGGCAACCAAATATTAATGACAATTGAGCAGGCTACAAATTTATTACAGATAAATAACAAAATTAATAAATCTATTGCTATAAAAATTATGATGGTACAAATCTGCTTGGCTCTTTTAATACCATTTATAAATATTATTTATTTTTTATTATATATCAAAATGGGTTTACATTTTACAGCTTATTTGACCTATTTAATGTCGGTGCTAACTGTACATGCTTATTTATGTTTAATTGCTCTCATAGCTTATTATAGTCTATGTGTTGCACATAAGTTCAATGATTTGGCTAATAATTTAAAAACAAATGTAAATTTGTTTGAAATATTACAAAATACGCTGAAAATTACTATTCATACAAAACAATTTGATAGATATATTTCGTTTTGTATGTTAACTTCATTGGCATTTAAGACACTCTATAATATATCAAGTTTTTGTGTTATTTGTATTGATTCTAATAAAGCCATGGATTTTATATTTAGTTCATTAATATATTCAATACCTGATATTATTATCAATTGTATTGTTTGCGATATAATACCAAAAAATTTTCAAAAACTATTGAATCGTATCAATGAATTTGAAGCAAATAATATAGTCATACAAACCGCTGGCAAACAATTTGCTTACAATTATATTATACAACGTTTGAATTATCTAAAAGACGATTTGTATTTTACGGCATTTAATTTCTATAAAATCAATACAAAAACTATTTTATCACTAATGGCTCTAACATTAAGCTATTCAGTAATACTCATACAAACATCATAAGTGTTTGTAATAACTTTTTTATCGATAAAATCAATCATCAGATTATAAGACAATGTTTAGCAGACTTATGATTAATAAACATTTATTAATATTTGTATTTTAAAAATATATTAATAGCTTTTTCTTTAAATTTAAATTTAATTTATTATAATTTAATAATTAAATTTATTTGAAAAATCAATTTTTATTTATTGTATTACATTATTTGAAACTAATAAAATATACAATAAAAATACATTAATCAATATGTAAAATCTTTTACTAATAAAATATTATATTTGTTTATACAGTATTTACTGGTATATTAAAAAATAAAAAAATATATACATAATTATTTTTTTTTGTTATTCTAAATATGTTTTTAGTAATGTTATAATATTTATTTATTGACATAATAGAGTAGTATACTACTGTAGTTATCAAGTTCACTTAAAAATTAAGGTCCTAAATTTCAATGTACATGTAGTGCTACAGTAGAACACATTGTATAAACACAATATATTATATACTGCATTATAATAATAAAAAATCAATGAATGTATGCAATGAATACTGTATTCAATTGAATTGATTAGTGTTTTAGAGTTTTCACAACAAAAACACAAAACAAACAAAATATTTATTGTTCTGATTTGCAATTAATTACTAAATAATAATATCACGAATTGTGTAACAATGGTGTGGTTCATCTCAGTCTTATTGATAATAATATTGTTGTTAAAAATCACTTTGTTTGACACAAACATCAACTTCAGTGAAGACTATTAATATTGTACGCCATTTGCAAACATATGTTTATTGAAAACTTTACAAAACGATTAAAACTATTATTATATAAAATATGTTACTGTAATTTACTTAACTGTAGTTTTTAAGTCATAGTATATACAGTTCATTAAAATTGAGGATCGCGATTTTTAAATACTCTCGATACTCTTGACACTTGACTAATTCAAATAATGTACTTGTGAACGGCCCCAAAATATAATTTACAAACAAACACACATACACTTAAACATACAAACAAATACATATAGGCTTTAGTATGATGTATGTATCATCTTTCAATTATGATTAAAGGTCATATACTACTACCCGATTAGAAAAATGTTTCTTGGAATTAATAGTTTAGGCTTCATGACTAACGAAATCATAATATATCCGTTTCTGTTAAATAAAATTACCAATTTTGATGGATTTATCAGCACATATTTACACAAATTTGAACATGCATTAAATTAGTTAATTTTATATTAATTTTTTTTTTAAATTTTTGATTAAATTATTTTTTAATATTTCTTATATTATGTTTGTATGTAAAAGAGACGACGATTGTATTCATTTAACTAACACATATAACACATCGTTAGTCAGCACACATAGTATCGGATATGTCATTATTGAAACATTGGAACACAAATTTTGTACAAACTTGGCACCAGAGGATTAGTTTGTTTTCAAGACTACCGGCAATATAACTGATTTGGAGACAATTGATGGCGTTTACATTATATTCAGACATCCGAGTAATATGGTCGACATTTTTAACATTTATTATAATTTCATATTTAAGAAAAATCCTTTACCTATACTAACGACGACATTGATAGGATTGGCGTCTTTTGCGATTGTAATCGGCTAGAAGTAATACTATCGGTGACACTGTTAACCCTTAAAGTCATACTCAATCTATTTTAAGGTTTTGCCAAATTATCTGAATTGCGGACAGTAGTAATCGGTTGTCACTGGGAAATAGACGAGTATTTTGAAGTGTTATTGAAAATTTGATTAATTGCCAAACGTTGTCAAATTGAAACGTCTGGACCTGACGATCAGCAAAAGTCATTGCGACCCAAATTTCCAACTATTTTGCATTTACATTAAATTAGTTTTAAAATAGTCATTGTATTATTTAAAAAATAATGTTTTAATTAATTAAATTATTGTGATAATTTATCTAAATTTGATATTTTAATAAAAATATTGTTATTTGAATAGAAATTTATATTTATATTTTAAATTTTAAGTATATATATATATTGGTTTTACTGTATAGTTACGTAATGGGCCATTCGTATAGTTGTTACCATTTAGTTAATTAGAGAGTACTGTATTGTGTTTGTGGGTAAAAATTATTTTTTGGTGCCGTTCACAAATACGTTACGAATTAATCCGTGTCAAGTAAGTAGTATACTACTTAATTATATATATATAATTTTAACGTTTATATTACTAATTATATTGAAAACTATATTAACTTCAGATAAATTTTAATAAACACAAAAACTTAAAATAGTTATAATAATTTCTAAATAGATGTGATAAAACTGATGTAGATTTTGATTATATTATGTTTTATCGATTCACCTTGATCACATATTTTAACTAAAATCAAAACTCAAAATTTTTTTAATTTAAAACCTTTAACTATTAATTATTATAATAATGTTTAGTTTATTAGTAGTAATTTTATTTCAAAATCTATTAATAGTTAGAAATTAATAAAAAATATTTTTCTAATTAAAAAAATTCTATATTATAAATAATAATATCATAATAATAAACATTAAGTGGTTTTTAGTATTTTGTTTCATTTTTTTTAATCAAAATCTTAGTTTATATGATATTTTTTTATTACATTGTTATATTTGATAACTTTTATTTTAATTGATTTTTGCATATAAATGTCAAAAATAATAAACATTGTATATGTTTTTGAGTGATTCAAAATATTTATCTATCAAACAATAATCAGTAATATATTATTTATTTAGACTATGAAAACATTATTAACTATTAATATACTAATTGATTATTATTTTTTATAACATTATTTTGTTGTTATTATTATTTCATAATCATTCAAAATTATATTTATGTTGAAAATTTTGACTAAAAAAATGTCGAAAACATATAATATTAAAACAATGAAAAACATGTCAAATATAACGATAAGATCTATAAAAACATTATTTATTATACTATTGCTATTGATATGTAGTTATCAAGTCTACAAAATATGTTATCTATACCTATCCTACTGTACGACTACATCGGTAACCTATGACCAACTGTCCGATCTATCCCTACCGGGTATTACACTATGTTTTGACAAACAGTGGATCTTAAGAGATGATTACAAACAACAAATGCTAAAACAATATAACGCTTCAGTAAACAGTACTGATTGGAAACGACTGGTCAACTCCCTGTCCATTGCCGGCCAAATGAATGTATTGCTATCCATGGATGAGATATTTGGCAATTCGTGTCATGTATTGAAACCATTGGCTTTTGCCAGTAGATCAGGTATTTGTAGAAAATTAATTGTTTTTATTTTTATATATATTAACAAATATATCATTAAAAAAACAATAGTGTTATTTATTCACTATATTTTTTATAAAAAAAAACTATTAATAGACTTAAATATTTAGATTATTGAGTCTAAAAATATGATTAATTTGTTTACAATTTAATATAAAAATAGTATATTGATTTATACAATATACATCGTCTATTATTACTATTTGACATATCATCTAGGTACAATAAGTGTTACCAGTGATTGATGACATATCAATATATCTGACATATTGTTATTATTATTATCTAAATTTATATATATATATTATGCATATTTTTGATACTACAAATAAATATTTTAATAAAAAAAATATTTATAAAATTTATTAATAAATTACTAATATAAAAAATATTATTTTGTTAATTGACTATTTTATAATATTAAAAAATACTTTATTACCTAACCGGCAAACTTTTTAAATATATTTGACATTACAAACAAATAAAACCTTTGATAATATTGTATAATAAACTGTATTTTAATATGTCATCTGAAACTAATAAATCAGGTTTTAATATATTACTTACATATCATAGACTAATAGGAATAACATATTATAATTATGATTGTAAATCTATAAGAAATAAATCAAATTGGAAAAAATATTTATTATTTATAATAAACTTAATTATTTTAATAATAATACTAGGTAAATTTCTATATGAACAATTATTTGTATTTAATATTAACTCAATTAGATATGAATATTTTGGTCACTCTACTAGACCGTCATTGTTGACTATACTGGTATGTATTGGTTTATTTGGACGATTAGTTAATATCATAATTGCTTGGTTAGTATTGACACTGTATGGCAACAATATATTGACAATTATTATGTCAATTGTTAACACTGGTCATATTAAACAAGATAAAAACAGTGTTATAAAAATTATCATGGTACAATCAATTGTATCGATTGTCTCACCAATTAGTAATTTGCAAAATGCTAATTTTACTATATTATCATGGTATTACTACTTAATATATTTAATTGATGTTTTATCTATGAATATTAAAATATCGCTAATAAGTTTACTAACGTATTACAGTTTATGTGTTGGTCATAGTTTTAAATATTTTTTTAAACATAATGTTTGTGCAGAAAATGATTTAAACAAAACCTATAGATTGGTACTAAAAATTATTATTTTAACAAAAAAATTGGACAGTTATGTATCGTTTTATTTATTTTCTACCTTAATATTTAATCCTATATTCAATATTATGTGTTTCAGTGTTATATGTATTGATAATAACAAGTTTTTTGATATAATATTAAATGGTTTTGTGTATTCAATACTGGAATTGTTTTCAATTTGTTTGGTTTGCGATATAATACCCAAAAGTTTTAATCAACTATTAGACAGTATTAACGAGTTAGAGGCAAATCATAATGTATTACTAAAAACTGATAATAATGTTGTTATTTATAGATTGTATCAATTAAAAAATGAATTATTTTTTACGGCATTTAATTTTTATAAAATTAATTCAAAAACAATTTTATCACTAATGGCTCTAATATTAAGCTATTCAGTAATCATTATACAAACAACATAAATATCATAAATACTGTATAATCAATAATAATATTATTATTAATAATAATTGTTGTTAAAAATATCTAAGGCGTGGTTCACATATTACGTTCGCACTTGAGGGGAGGGGGGATTAGCCAAAACGAACTTTTGCGAACGAGGGGGAGGGGAGGGGTAGAGACTTTAAGAACGTTCGCATTTAGATAATATTTTAATTCTTGTGGTGTGGGGGGGTAGCGGTTAGGGACATGCGAACGTAATTTTTTTAAATGACTACATGCGAACAATTGCGAACATAGGGGAGGGAGGGGGTCTAGATTTCTTAAAAAGTGCGAACGTAATAAGTGAACAACGCCTAACAATTTTGATCAATATATATATTTGATTGATTACTTTATTTTTTAGATTATTAATATTATGTTTTTTTTATTTATTTCAATGTATGTGACCTAACAAAACAAACAATTTATATTTAAAATAAGTTATTTATAATTATTATTTTTACTTAGATTTATAAAAAAAAGTATTTACAATCATATAATATAGTATAATATATTTATATCTGCAATACACTTGTAAAGTATAAACACTTTATGTTTGAAAATAACTTTAAAATATCTATATTTCACTAAAATATAGCAATAATTTAATTATCAAATAGTCTTAAATTTAGCATTTTTGCCATTTATAGAAAGTATTCACTTTCTATATGTTTATTACTTTTCAAATAATTGCCGACTATTTTATGGGTTAAGTATTGCCTAAAATCCCTATATAAAGGTCAGCACTGACCTTACAATTCATGCTTAGATATACCTGTGCTTAACGACTGCAACATATAAACTAAATTGTAATACAATTTCATATTAAAATAAAATGTTTTAATAAAAATAAAATGTTTTAATAAAAATAAAATTAGTTTTTTTTAATCTATTGGTGCGTCAAATGAGTAAATGCCGTAAAATTCAACTAATGTTTTACACACTAAATTTTTAATTAAAGTAATGTTTTTTTATTAATATTTTAATGTTTAAATAGTGAAAACAGTAGATGGATTTAAATATCTATTGTGTTTATTTTTATATTAAGTTTATATAGCAATTTTTTTTAAAAATACAATAAAAATTATAAGAATATTGCGTTTATTAAAATAAATTGTAAATAAATTATATCAATATTTAAAAGTTATTGTAAAAATTAAAAATTTTCTAAAAATTGTTAATATGGAGCTAGATAAACTTATTTTGTATCATAGATTAACTGGTATAACTTATTTTAATTACAGTCCTAATGGCAATTGTAAATTATTTAAAAAATTACTATTACTTTTATTTAGTATAATATTGATAACAATAATATTGACAGTATTTATATTATTAGTTATCGATGCATTTTCAGTTGACAAAAATAAACTTGTTTATTTTAATAATTCACCAAAATCTACACTATTGTCTATAATGAAAATGATTGGTGATATTGGATATATTATTTCAGCAATAGTTGCCTGGCTAACATTGCTAATCTATGGCAATTTAATATTGCAATTATTAAGACAAAATCATAATATAAATGATGATAACTTGAAAATTGAACGCCAAATTGTTTGGAAAATTATTCTAGTTCAATTACTATTGTCCCAATTGACACATGTACCTGGTAATATTGTATATACATTAAATAATGGTCTCAAATTGTCTACATTGTTGTATACAATTTCCTTAAGCGTACTAACAATTAATACAAAACTATCGGTTATCAGTTTGATTGCCTACTATTCGCTGTGTGTATCAAATAGTTTCAAAAAAATTATTTCAAAAACAATGATTACTAATAATAATACTAAAAGACAAATAGATTTGTATGCTATATATAGACATGTTTTGCGAACCAGTATTATAACCAAACAATTGGACAGTTATGTATCGATTTATGTGTTTACAGATCTATCGTTTATTACCATCTATAATATCGTATGCTTTTGTGTAATATGTATACAACCGGACAAATCATTGGATATTATTTGCCTACAGTTAATGCATTTAATACCTCAACTGATAACTGTTTGTCTGGTTTGCGATATTATACCAAAAAGTTATAGAAAATTATTGACTGAAATAGAAATATATGAATCGGAAAATATTTTATGTTATAAAACAAACAATAATTATCATCAAATTATACAACGTTTGAATCAATTGACTGATGACTTGTGTTTTACAGCATTTAATTTGTATAAAATTAATACAAAAATAATATTATCACTATTGGCACTATCAATAAGTTATTCAGTTATACTTATACAGACAACTTAAATATACTGTAATATAATTTATATTTATTTTTTGTAACTTAAATTTTAAAAACTATATTTAAAAACATTTTATAAATATAACCCGTCATAATACTCGTATACATAACTACAGTATAAATAAATTATTAATATAATACAAAAATAAACATTTTTATTTAATAAAATTTATTTTTAATATTAAAACTATTATTTTTTTTGTATAATATATTATTATAAATTTTATATTATCATATTATTATATCGATATTTTAATTTTATAAACAAATTTTTAAAACAAATTTTATTAGGATATTACATCCCATGTCATACTATCACACCAGTCATACAGCGTATGGATTACCAGAATATGTGTTTTACATTTCTATCGCAACTATCAGACGAAACGGATGATCGTTATGTCATCCGCGATGACCTCATCTATAAAGACCACTTTAACGATCTGTTTCACGTTAGTATTGCCGGCCAAATCCCGTCGGTAAATATGATTATCCACTCGCGCTTCGAACATATGGTTAACACCGGTAAGAAACGAATGCTAAAGTTTGCGAACCGTCCGAAGACTGTCCACTACACGGAATACCATCAAACAGTTGTACACTCACTGCCGGCGCCCTACGAGACCAACTGCTATGACTATACGTTGATTGGTTACAAGTCTCGGCTGGACTGTATCGAGAACTGTCGGGTAGAATGGATGGCCGACTATGTAACGGGTTGGCCAGGAAACTATATGACCGACAATTTGACCAGCGATGCCCTGATTGTCAATATGTATGAATTGTTTCACGAAAACTATACATTGGATGCTGTCTTTGGCGATCACTGTCGCCGAGAGTGCGGCACTTGTATCGAGTGCTGTCTCGCCTATTACGATGTCTTTCAATCGGAACACAACTGTGAGGACATTAATGAGTTTATTGTTGTCCTCTCACCGCCCGATTTGCGGACACTTATCATAACTCATACGCCTAAGCTATCGTTTGAAGAGTTTGTCTCATTAATCGGCAGTTTGGTTAGTCTATGGTTTGGTGTGTCCGTAATTATGTTGACCAACTCGACGGTCGACTTGTTTGGCCAGTATGTGGTCGATAGAATTTTCCGATCAAATCGGTCAATGCCGACACCAAATGATGATAAATATGATGATTATTGGAGACAATTATATGGCAAATATGGTGGAGACAAATGTAATAGTGTTTCAATGAGAAGAAAATGGTCGACAATTATTAGGGACAACCGTTTGTATCAAAATGATTATCGTTACAAATATTAAGTATTATTATTACTTTTATGTTTATTATTATTATTTTATTTTATCTTATAATTTAATGATTATGTTATTTTAATGTCAAAGTATATATATTTATATAGTAATGCATTAAAATATATTCATATTTTTATTTATAGTAAATTTTTATTATAAAATATATTCTATACATTATATTGTATGAAAAAAATCAATAAAATTGTTATTAAAAAAATAATCAATATCTTAATTGTATTGTTTAAGTAATACTTGCTATTTTAAAAATATTTTTTTTATTTTAGATAAAATTACCTAAAAATGTTCACATATATGATAAAAATAGACAATTAATTGTTAAGTAGGTTCATTCATATTATTATCATATAATCTATTAAATTATTTTATACTGCATTATTATATATTAATTATTAATTAATTTAGTAGTAAAATAGTAAATTTATTATGTATATTATAAGTAAATAAATATATATCTTATTTATAAATAATATCATTACTAAGTTTATTGCTTTCTAATAATATTATTATAATTATTAAAAAAAAAACATTAATATCTAGTTTTACTTGTTATGCAAAAAATAATATTGCATCAAAATATAAATTATAATAAATTAAATTTATTAAAAATAAGTATCTAATAAAATTGTTAATCAAACTAACAATAAATTGAAAATGTTAGATTTTCTAAATAATATTTTAAATAGAATTATTAATCTTAAACTAATGTTATTAACAAATTGGATAACATTAATACATACAATCAATTTAATAAAAGTTTTATCAATACTATGTTTCAATTTAGACTATTATCATCGAAAACTATTGTTTGATTTGACACTATTTATTGGTGGTCATAGACTACTTAATACATTGATTTTTATTATGTCATTAATCTATGTTATATGTTTGAGTTTATTATTTAACAAAACAACTTATAAAAATGTTAATAATAATAATAAATTATTTTATTGGACAAAATTAATATCAATAATTAACGGCCATAAAACAAGCAAACGTAATCTTGCTCTAACTAATAAACATAAACAATTGATTACTAAATTAAAACATCATACTAAATTAATTAAATTGATTAGCAAATATTTTCGGATATATTACTGTAAGTACACTAATTAAAATAATTATCACTAAGTTTTACTAAACTTTTTTTTAAAAATAATTAATTTAAGTATTTTTTATTTTACGGTAATTAAGTATCAACATTATTATTGACAACAATACTATTGCTGTTAAAATTTTACACATTATACGAATTGATAATATCATCATGGTCAATTATCATTCTAATTATAACCTATTGTTATGGCAGCATGGACATATTTATTAGTACATCTAACTTCTATATAATTTGCTATTATCTTAGACTGCGTACAAATGTATTGAATAAACAAATTTTGAAATTAATTAAACATATCAAACATGATTTAGTTTGTCGATCAAAAGTAAATAATATATTTATTGAACACCAAATAATATGCAAACAAGTAGTAATATTTGACAAATTTTGGTGTCGATATTATTTTAGTGCAATTATGACAATGTTGCCTGGTAATTTATTTGCATTGATAACTTTAATGTTTATAACAAATCTTAACACATTAATCCTAATGACATACATAATTGGTTTACTATATTCATGGTTTGTTATATTTTTTATATCCTATTGTGCCTCTCAAGTATCCAAATCAATACATTTATCGGCTAATAATATAATTAATTTACAATTACAAATAAATTTTGATATTGAATACAAATTAAAACTAATGATGTTTTTTGAAAAATTAATGTCAACTAAACTTATAATTGGTTTCAGTGTCGGTCCGCTATTTGTAATGACTTTTCAAAAATTATTTATTGTAAGTATTTTTAAAAATTATAATTTATTAGTAATTATGTTTTTTTAATTATAACTGTATTTGCTAACTAATATGATGTTTTATTTTAATTTTTAGCTTTCAATTAAATATTGTCGCTATTTTATATTGGCACTTAAATTATATGATACTCATAAATAGAAATGATGATACAATATTATATATTCACTTTTAATTAAATTTCATCATTTTCATAAAAAAATAATTGATAAATTTATAAATATCAAGTTGTTGTATTAAAATAATTATTTAGTTAGAAATATATTAAATTTTAAGCATTTTTATGCTTAATTTATTAAGTATTTACTTACAAATTAATGTCTAAATACATTTTCAAATAAAATATAAATTTATAGAGTATGAATTTATTTATTTATTTAACAATAGTAATTTTTATGTACAGTATGTTTTATACAATATAATATTTTATTTAAAAAAAACAATAAAATTGTTATTAATAAAAAAAATTATATAACATTAATATATAAATTATTTTTGTACTTTTTTGATTTTTAAATTTTGATTTTAAAAAATAAATTTGATCGAAAAAATTAACACACGTGTTTACAATTTATTATTTAGCAGGGTCAATGAGAGGATAGTACAGTAGTAGCAAGTATTAGCGTATACTTTAATGTATGTACTTTACATGTACTTTAATTATTGTCATTCATTTAATACATGTATATTAATGATAATAAAAATTAATTATTATTTTATTAATATTAAATTATTTTTTTATATTTATATTTATTTATAATTATTGAAATATCATTACCTTTATTTGATCCTAAATAAAATTATATTTATAAAGTTCATTACGATTGAGTTAGTATTATTATTATTGTAGATTATATTTTTGTAATACACAATAATAATTTTATTTAAATCTAATTTATTGTTTATATTTAATTGAAAAAATGTTGAACTTTTTAACCTATACTATATTACATACAATAAAATTTTTCAAAAAGTTATCGATAAATATAATAGTATTATTAGATACAATTAATTTAATTAAAACTTTATCAATACTATTTTTTAATCTGAATAATTTTTATAGTAAATTATTATTTGATATTACATTGTTTATTGGTGGTCATAAACTATTGAACACATTTGTTTTTGCATTATCATTTATTTATGCAATATGTTTGAGATTATTATTTAATAAAACAAATTACACTGATGATAAATTATTTTATTGGACAAAATTAATGTCAATTATTAACATTAATATTAACAATTGTCAAATAATAAACAAACGAGAATTAAATTTAACTAATAGACATAGACAATTAGTTGCTAAATTAAAACAACGTGCTAGATTAATTAAAGTGATTACCAAATATTTTATTATATCATATTGTAAGTATTAGATAATTTCCAAAATTTTAATTTAATTTTGTAATTATTTATTTATAAATTATTTTTTTATTACATATTGTATATATATTTTACCATATTTTTATAGACTCTACTTTTTCATTGACAATAATACTATTGGTAGTAAAATTATACACATTGTACGAGTTTATTTTATCATCAATGTCAATTATTATTTTGCTTATAACATTTTACTATGGCAGCATGGACATATTTAATAGTACATCAAATTTCTATATAATTTGCTATTATCTTAGACTACGTACAACTGTATTGAATAAACAAATTTTGAAATTAATTAAAAAACATAGAAATCATAACTTTTTGTTATCTGAATCAAAAATAAGTAATATATTTATTGAACACCAAATAATATCTAAACAAGTAGTAATGTTTGATAAATTTTGGTGTCGATATTATTTTAGCACAATTATGACAATGTTACCAAGCAATTTATTTTCACTCATAAATTTAATTTTTGCAACAAATCTTAACACAATAATCCTAATTACATATATAATTGGTTTACTATATTCATGGATTGCTATATTTTTTATATCCTATTGTGCATCAATGGTTACAAAATCAATATATTTATCGGCCAACAAAATAATTAATTTACAATTAAAACTAAGTGTAAATATTGGATATTATTTAATAAAATTAATGATATTTTTTGAGAAATTAATGTCAACTAAACTGATTGTTGGTTTCAGTGTCGGTCCACTATTTGTTATGACTTTTCCTAAATTGTGTTTTGTAAGTAAATTTTTTTTTGATAAATATTTATCTAAAAATTATTTATTATTAATTTTTAATATATATTAATTTATTCTTTTATAAACTTTTTTTAAAATTTTAGCTCTCAATTAGCTATTGTCGCTATTTTATATTGGCACTTAAATTATATGATACAATTAAATAAAAATAGATGGTTATAAAAATAGATATAATAAATTATTCCTTATATTAATAAATTATAAGTATATTCAGATTAATTAACTATTTTTATTACGTATAACTGAATGTTGTGTTGAAATAATTGAAATATATAAAAAATATTTTTATAAACTACTTTATAGTCGTTACTAAAATTAAACATTACAATTAACTTATAATTATTATGCTAAATTATAATGTTTTATACTAATTGATATCTGTAATATATTGTGTTAGTGTCAAATTATGTTTATAATAAATTTTTATTTTTGTTATTTAAACATTAAGTTCACATAAGTTCAGATATATCATTATATTGTCATATATTCAATAAATATTTTATATTATACTAATTAATTACATTTATAATTACTATTATAACTTTAGTTCATAGTATAATTATCGTTTATAATAATTATTTTGTCTGTTATATCATTATAATGTCTTTAATTATTTATAGAAATTAATTATTTAAAATACTCTGTTAAGATTATTATCATTATTAAAATTTCTAGAATAATGACTACTATCTAAATGTAGATTTATTTTATTAAAACAAACATCTTTCTTAATTACCGACAAATTAATTACTTGTGAATTATTAGACTTTTTATGATAATAGTCATAGATATCTATTAATAAATGTTTTAGAAATTTAATGGCAAATAATATGGATAAACCAAACCATAGACTGAAAATACTGGCCAATAAACAGAGAAACTCAATGAATGACATTTTCAATTGAGTTACATATATGACAAACAATTCACTCGTTGGTCGGACTCTAATAAT